CATGACTACTATCGTTCCCGTGAGCACAGCTAGGGACCTCCCTGCTTTAAGTCTAGAACCTACCTGTTTGTGATTTGGGCTACGCCACTCCCTGCCAGGGCGTTGCTTCGCTATCGTCTTAGACCGTGAATTGCCCTCATCAGAACTCCTGAGTCATTGGTTAGCTAGCTTGCCCGTGCCGCAGCCTGCACCTTAAACTCTAAGCCCTAAGTCGAAAACTTGCATAAATCCTCTAGGTGCTGTTAGCTGATGGGCGTGTGCCGATGTCAAGCATCTAAGCTTGTTTCTGTGTGCCTTCAAACTCAAGCCCAAGCCACCTCCCAATGTACAACCCCAGACAACTCAAACCAACCACTAAACCGTTTGGTGTTGAGGCTCGATAACAAACATGCCCTCCTTCTAAACAGTACCTGCCGACACCTCGACCGCACAAGGGGATTCACGGTTGGAGGGTTGAACTTCGACCACCATTGTTCGAGAGGCCTCGGAAACTGAAGGTCTGTTGGGGTCAAGAGTAGGGTTTGGGGTTTAGGGTTTGCTCCCAAGGGTAGCCTGGAGTATGCATGGTTGGTGCAGACCTTTCCTGGAATAGTATTAGCAGTAAAAACACCTTCCGGAACGCGGGCAGGGTCAGCCAAAGCAACAGCATCCTTCGCCTCAGGGATGGTTCGATCCCCACGATGAGTGGCAGGAGCGCATGGTACAAGTTCAATTGCGGGGGGGGGGCGGCTGGAAGCACAGGCTCTAAGCTGGCCAGGTTTTCTTGCCGTGGTTGATGTTGTTTGTTGGGGTTTGGGATCTTGGCCACCATGTGCTCATGATCGCAGTCATGATCTCCGCGGGACGTCGGTGTGTTGGAGGCTTCTTCGCGCGCGCCCCAAGCTCTGCGAAAACTTACGCCCGAAAAAGGCCTAAACCAAAGCCTGGGTCTAGTACAGCAACACAGATAGGTCTGAGAAGGCAACAAGCCGGCGTGGGAGTTGTCATACACAGACAAGAAGCGTTCGTGAAGCACGTTAGCCGACCAGCCCTGAGCCCAACACCACCCAACGTCTTGATCGCACAAGAACGTCGACACCTCAAGTTCAACAGCCTAGGGCGGTTTTATAGGAAGCTGTGCCAAAGGCCTCAGATGGGTAAGTGTATGGGTGTCTAGAGTTGTGGTAGTAGCCCAATTTGGGGCACTTGCATTCCTACCGAAGTCTTTTGCCCCAAACCTTCAAGAACAGATCACAGATTACCCTGGAACATGGCCAGGATCAGCCACTGCAGCATCAGCAGCCACTTCAGCAGCTGCGCTGGGACTACCCCCAAGCTCAGTGGCAGGAGCGCGGCTGCTGAGCTGTAATACTTAACCCTACACCCTAAGACTCATAGCCCTAAAGCCTAGAATGCCCTAAACGCGCCAACCTGCCCCTACAAGACCGGCTCCATTCATTGCATGAAGTTGGGCCCAAGGCAAGGCATGTAGGAAAGCACCGGCTCCCTTCACTGGGTGGCTTTGGGCCAAAGCAAGCAATGAGGGGAAGGCTTGGTCACGAAAGCTAGCCTCCGTGGCTAGCTGAGTTCCTTACCGACCGAAAGGTTGCATCTAGGGGTGTGGGGAAAGGCCCCCTTCCAGGTGGGCGTTTTCTGCGCGCGTTTTCGGTCTTGACCCCACCTGGGGGGAATTCGGGTCCGTTTTGGGGTGTTCGAAAGTGGTGCTTCTGAGTGGAAAAACGGGTCCCCAATGATGCAAATGCTGCGCGCTTGTTGGCTCGGATTGAAATCCAAGCGGCTCCCAATGATGCTCATGATGCGTGCTTGCTGTCTCTGGGACCCACGATACCCCCAATGATGCTCATGATGCTCGCCTGCTGGCTCGGAGGTCGAGAAGTCTGGACATGTTCAGCTCCCAATGATGCTCATGTAGGTTCATGGAATATGGGTGTGGTCATCGTCATCGTCGTCAGCATCATCACCACCACGATTAGTTGCTCCAGGAAATTCTGGTTGGCCGGCAGGCATCCTCCCTACCGCTTCCCGTCGTCCCTACTTGGCGCGATGTTGACTGTATGACTGATGAGCTTAAATGATATGTGTACTACGGTTATGAATTTTTCAATGGCACGAAAGCTAGCCGAGAACCTTATCAACCTAAAGGTCGCAGCGGGCGTGCGGGGTATGGGCTCCCCAAATTGTGGCCAAACGTGACCTGGTTTTTGCAGCTCCAATGAATGTCTCTTTCATTTTTCCGGCCTTGGGCATGGGCCCGGGAGGCTCCCAGGACTCCAGCCAGCTGCTACCCTGACCGGCCTTGGGTCGGGCCGGACTCCCACGAACACGTTTGTGAGACTTGCATGTAATGCAATGTTCAGGGATGTTGCAAAAGCCCTTTCCACGCCATTGAGCGCACTTGCCCGTTACTTAGTTATTGGCTCAAAATGCGACCATTCAAACGCCAACTGAAACTGCTAAGACCGACGGACGGGGGTCTTGGCCCGGGAGGACTCCGCGGGACCCCAACGGTGCTCATGATGCTACCCTCTCCAACCTTGTGCCCGGGCCGCGTGAGGGCTGCGATGACCGTGTTCTTTTTCCTCCGTGCTTCCTTCCAAAGGAACGCAGATGACAACAGCTGCTGTCGACGACAGCAGCAGGGTTTGTGAGCTCCCGGCACTATCGCTCCCCCCCCCTTACTAGCTTCTGTCCCAGTCCCTCCTCCTCAAGTTCCCTTCATGGGTGCATTGTCCTCGGCGCTGGTGAGGGGGTTTTTGGCTTTTTTGGGCACTCTAATCCCTAAACTCATAGGCTCCAAGGCCCTAAACCTTCAACCGAAAGCCCTAAACCCTCACAACCCACACCCCCCCCAAAACCCTAAACCCCATAATTAAAAGCTCTACCCCCAAAAAACTTCTTAACTCCCCAAAATCACAGCCATCTTGAGTCCTGGCAAGGCATGGGGCCACGCGCGGTGGAACTGAGTTGAGTGGCAAAGAATATGCTCTGACCCCGAATGGCCGGTGCGTGCCTGGCGAAAACCGCTAGGCCATGTTTCTCCAGCACAGCGCGTGCTGCTGTGGCACTTTAAATTGCCGCATCAGGAAAGCACCGCCAAGATTCCAAGACTACTTTCGCGCCCGCCCGAGGTAACCTTTGAGCTACAGTATCCTTCGGCGGGTCCGCAAGTCTATCCATCATCCATATTTGAAGTCTGAGGTATCACATCTAGCTGGCCCCCGGCTACTCGTACGTACTTCGTCCAATCTACGGACCTGATCAGCATGCGATAGGCGTGATGCTCTACACCCGCCTCTTGGTTCAGTGTTTAAACGACGTTGCGAGCCGGTCTGGTGCAGGGGCTCTGAATTGCAGGCTCTATTTATCCTACGAATTGAATGAGCACGACGAGCCCTACAAACCCCAAACCTTTTTCACCAAGGGGGGGCCCAAGCAGCAACAAGTTTTCAACAACAGTTTTCTGCTGTGCGATTTTGGCTGCCCTTGCGCTGTCATCACCTAAACCTGCCACTTCACTTCTTGAAGTGGTGCAGCTCGCAATGTCCCTAAGCCTCCAAGCTTTTCAACCAGTGGCTGAAAAAAGTCCAGCCTTGCACTGCAACCCGCCGTGTTGGCATTTTCTGGGTGCGCGACGTAGTCCCGTGCTGTTGCGGGCCCCTTGTGGTAGCGTGTGAGCAGGATATATATACAATAAGATGCCAAAAGGAGCACATGCAGTGTTGATCAGCAGGCTTTTGCATAGAGCCATTGGCAGATGACGGTTGCTCTTCTCGCCGCAGCCGTGGGGATCCCAGACACTTTCAGCAGATAGTGATGCAGTACAATAGAGATGGGACGCAAGGTTGCATGTATTGTGCAGTTCAAGGGCGATGCATAGTGATGTAGCTTGTTCCGGCAGAAGTTTTGGCCAACATTGGCTCGAAAGTGCAAAGCAGTGATCGTGCTCACGAAGCGATGTTTTATTTCGGACATTTTGCCTTGCATGTTGAGGCAGAGGCGCGGGAATATGGTTTGAATTCGATATCACAAGTCTATACGTTTCGCTGATGAGCTTTCCATAGGCGTCCATCTTGAACATCCTTGCAACAGAGTTGTGCAGCAAGAGTGGGCGTGGTCGGGGTACAGATCAATGCCTGCAAGCTGCCTCAATGACAAGCCCAGCAGGTTCCAGCTGAGAAATTTGCAAGTTGGATTGAGATTGTGTAGGGATGAGGTTGTTACGGGTCCTCTGAACCCCAGACTACGCTCGTGGCAACAGGTGTTACATCCTGGTCATTCCTGGTCACTTATTAGTCTGGGCGGTCATTCACTTTGGGCATCTGACATCTAATGAGGCTTTGCCACCTACGCACCAACAGTTCTTGTCAAATGCAAACGACGCCATTGAAAGTGCTTCTGTGTTGCTTTCTGAGCTAGGCAAAGCGGCTTGAGCGCAGTGGGTTAGTTGTTGCTTTCAGACCCGAAGTCCCTTCCGATTCCAACTCAGGCTAAAGCTAAAGCATGGGCAGTTGCAAGGCGATCGTTACTGGAGTAGAGGTGTATACCGTGTATACCGTGCATACTTACAAGAGGTTGAATGCCTGCCGACTCCACGTGGCCGGTTTTGACGGACGAAGGCAGAGCCCGTCTTGTGTCTCGGAGTTCGGTGTGTCTTTGGCTCGGTGCGGTGCAGATTAGAGGAAGCATCGTTCATGATTATCAGAGGGTTTCAGTACCAGTAGAGAGTAGAGAGTACCGACATGTTTAAGGTCTGACACGTGTTGCTGTAGGGTGAAGGGGCCCGGAGCCATGAAATCTCGAGCCCTCGTTCCTTTGCCCTGACGGACTCAATCTCAGCTCCCAGTCCCACTTTGGCTCATGGATCGTAGTTGGACATTGAATCTTCTGCAGCACCAGAGATTGTAGGAAGATGGTAGGACTGTGGTGCAGCAGCAAAAGAGCCATGTTCACAAAGACATCCCCGAGCAGTAGGAAGCTCTTTGACCTTCGCGCCAAATCCAATGCAGTGCCGCAACCATTCGGCCAGACGTGTTTGGAACACCAGAACCGGATATTGTGAGGACTGTGACTGGTCTTTGCGCTTGCTGGAGCAGGAGTTGCGGTTGTGCCTAGATCCACAGCAGCCAGTCGTTAACAGGCAGCGCAGGTTCTTCTTCTTGTGCCCACGACGAAAACATGGCTTCACGTCACGTTGCTCCGGAGCAGATTCCATTTGCAGGAAGTGCAAAGACATCCGCTACAAGAGCAGTGTAGCCAGCGAAGGACACGAGGACAACTGGCCTAGTCTTGCAGAGGTTGGGCCCACTGTAAGCTTCGAGAGGCCCGCGTTGGCGCGGGGCCTCGTGGTGCGGGTAGACCCGAACGTGCTCGATTTGCAAAAACGCAAAGTAGACTTGCAACGATCTCTGAACGCGGAGCGCTTGGATGCCTGTGTCCATGTCAGCCGCAATGTGCGGGAAGCTTTTCGCAGCGCACCCCCCAGCCCTTGCGAGAGCGAGATTCTGAATGAGCTGTTCCAGCGGTTTCCGGAGGCTGTTCAGCAAGAGACTCAGACGCTTTCATCACTTTTCTCGGAATCTTCTTTTGTTTCTTTTCGTGCAAAACCCATGCGAACATTGCACATAATGATTTCTCGATGGTTCTCAGGGTGCCTAAGGAGATGGACCGCGTCGTGGAAGCTTGTGCCTTTGCAGAGCGCCTGGCTGGCTACCGAGCCATCCCTGTATTCTACAAAGCAGCAACCATGAATTGGGCACCGTCTCGCTGGTCCGATGCGCCGAGGGAAAGTGCGGCGGACAGTTTTCTGGCAGGAGTGGCAGACAGGAACAGTCGAAGCCTGTATGCAGCGGTCTGTTTGATAGCATTTCGTAGCAGCATGAGGTAACATCAACCTGGTTTCTCAACAGAGCCGCTTATGTTTGCGTTCGGATGTATGCCGGGGTCTTCTTTTTCGCACAGGTCAGGCTTGCAACACACCGAAGCCGCTTTCGACACTCGAAGTCCGACACTAAGGATCCGGAGACTTGGCCTGCGCAGTGGAAGTGAAGGGTCATCGCTTCTTGCTTGCTGAGCCTCGCTCCGGATGCGAGTATAGCGGATTACAGACCACAAAGGAGAACCACATGGTCTTCATCGTCACACGACAGCAAGCCGACCGATGTGTTCAGACTCTGCAGAAATTTCCCTTCCGCGGGCTCGTCGAGCTCTTGAAAACACAGAAGCTAGCTCTACCAGCTTTGAGAATGAGGTTCTTCCATGTTCTTCTATTGATGTACTGTAGAACCCTAAAAGCATTCGTCGGGGCGCTGAAGCTGATCCCGAGGAAACCAAGCCACCACGACCAGCTGAACTGCAAGGGATGCGATCTTCTGGGTCGGTGTTGTGGCGCATCCCAGTCTAAATACATTGCCCGAAGCTTCTGCGGCTTCAACGACGGCGGAGCCAGCGCCCGCCTGGTTTTGAGAGGCTTGCCAGGCTTTGCGGACAGGGACTTCGTGGAGGACATCTTGCGTGACGTTGCAGGGACCTTGAGCTTATCGGATCCCGAGGCCGGCTTGCGATGGATTTCTGTGTACGTGCGGAACCGGCGAGACGGTGCTTGTGAGGCCCATGTGGACTTCGACCATGCCGAGCTTGCCGGCCAGGTCTTGGAGCTGGCAAAGGATATCCTGCGAGCGAGACTGGAGGGTGCAGAAAGAGCCATTACTCCGCACTTTCAAGGCGGAGGCGGAGGCACTCTGTACGCCGCGGATTTATATGGGGCAGATCCCTGTGATCCAGAGCTCCAGGCTGCTTTGGAGCAGACCGTGTTCCGAGCTGGTTGCGAGTGCTTAGGGTGGCTATCAGCAGAGTCAGTAAGCGATGGTCAGCAGGATGATTCCCCGGTCCCCGTCGTCCGCATAATCAGTGCCCCGCACTGGCTACAGAGGGCAATGACACAGTTGCAGAGGTTCGGCGAGTGGCGTACCTTCCGCTTAATCCTGCCGTGGCAGGTGTTCACATGCTTGCACCAAAAGTTTACACTCGGAATGCCTTCGAACTGGGTTCGATGGGTGGTGGACAACATGAGAACTGCGGCCGTTGATGAAGAGTCCTTGCAAGATTCTGCAGCAGCTTTTCGCGCGCACGCCAGAGGTTTGTCGCAAATGGGAGACTTTCCATCTCGGGCCACACGCCAGGTTTACAGAAACGACCAGTTCTGTTCTGAACTTGAGGAGCAGCACACCACTCTGTGCTGACCTTAACCACGCAGTCTCATCATAGTCTCATCCCCTGGTCATGCTAGAGATTTCGCAGCATTCAAGAGACTGGGCGGTAGCTGGGCAAGTGATGAGCATGTGCTGAGGCTCCGCCACGTGCACCTGTTCGGCAAGCCCACGGCCGCGAGCCAGCACTTTCAAGCACACCGTGCAGGTACGGACCAGGATGAAGATTCCGACGGATCATGGCAAGATGACCCGTCCGACGATGCTCTCGGTTCACAGTCTGCCACCGTGGAACCTGATGGATCCCAGTCTTCTCTCGACAATGAAGCTGAGCACTGGGAGGCAGCGAGGGATGTCGGAAGTTCTTGAGAAAGAGTACTGCGTTTCGGACTTCAGGGTGCAGCTTTGAAGTTTTGGGTGTGTTTCCAGACCGAAGATGTAGCCCTGCAGAGGTTCGCTGTGCGGATATTCCACCACATGTCGTGTTGGGCCGTGCAGGCACAAAGTCCAGAAGCAGCGCCAGAGATCCCCACTCAGGCTGGGCTGGGCTCTCATGTCACGTCATTCGGCTTCTGACAGAGATGTTGACCACACGCTTGGAAAGAGCAGTCGATGTTGTCAGCGACGTTGCAGCTGAGTAGCTGCCGCTCACCCCGATTTCCTTTCACAGTGTCAAATCATGAGAAGTGTCAAATCATGAGAAGTGTCATATCATGAAGTAAGGGGGGAAGATTGTAGAGCAAAGCCTTGTCGAGAAGACACTATATTTCTGAAGCTCCAGCCTGCGGCTCTCAGACCCCCCCCTGACCCTCTGCGCAGGCGCAGACTCCACAGGATGGGCCAAGTGGCTCCACCCTGAAGTGCGGGCGATCGAAAGCAGCTTTCGACGCAAGGGAGTATCGGCAAGAAAGCGACGACGAGGCTTTCCGGCAGGGCAGCTTCGGTCCAAGTGTCTGCCATCTTGGGTTGGGTGTTTGAGATGGAAGGTAGTTGGCTTTTGTCAGGGTCGGGTTCGTATCCAAGGACTACTTGGACCTTCAAGAAGGAGTCTGGGTCATGTGGAACCCCGACACAGACCAGGATGGATGGTGCTGGGGCTCCAGCGGGGGCAAGCAAGGCTGGTTTCCGCGCTCCTTCATGGATGCGGAGCATGACTACAGCACTGCAGGCTTGCTGCTGCAGACTGAGGTCTCTTCGCAGGGTTTCGCTCCATCCTTTCGACTGGCGCAGGGCGGTTCTTGCGATGTCTTCGACGTCCGACTTTGCGACAGACGAGTCGCAGCAAAGGTTCTCCACCATCAGGAGAGCAGGTCCGTGGCGTGCGCAATGTTGGACCAGCACCAGCTCTTTGCACAGGAAGTGGCTGCACTCAGGCGCATCAGCCACCCCAACATCGTGCGCATGCTGGATGCCGGCGTGGCCTCCTCCGGTGCTTTTGTCATCCTCGAGGAGTTTGCCGGTTCGACAACTTTGATGCACTGCCTCCAGGGGTTGGAGTGGAGGCAGCGCCTCGTGACGGCCACGCAGGTGGCCGATGCCCTGTGCTACATCCACAGCCAAGGAGTCCTGCACCGCGACATCAAAAGTGCAAACATCCTTGTCGATGCCGATGCGGTTGCAAATGTCACGGCAGCCAAGATCAGTGACTTTGGTTTGGCCATAGGTGTTCAAGAAAGAGCTTTACGTGGAACCCGCCACAGCACACGTGTTTGCGGCACGCCAGGATACATGGACCCTGAATGCCTACGTGGTGGAGGATACACTCAACAATCAGACGTCTATAGTTTCGGCATTGTTCTGCTGGACCTGCTCACCGGAATCTGCGGCTCAGAGGCCGACCATTTTGCGGCAACTCAAGAAGACTCGGTGGTTTTTCATTCTTCGTGGCACGCAGCAGGGGGGGCTCTGCAAGCTTCTTTCTTGGACCTCGCCAAGGGCTGCGTCCACGTCCTTGGCAAACGGCGCCCGACATCTCAGGCCGTGCACCAGGGCCTTCAACAGTTGCAGACGTCTTAGTGGAGCGAGAATCAACTTTTTAATCTTCCTGCGCAGAAGCCGCTTAGATCCAGCCGGGTTGCTCTGCTGTCCTTGCTGGAGTTTTGTAGCTTAAAGTTCTTAGTTTAGCCGGTCGCCAGCATGGCAGCACATGTGCCCTGTCATCAAAAGTGAGCGACCAACCATTGCTCCCCCCAGTTCTATGGATAATCCTTGGACCGAAGATCCAGGATGATAATCATAATGGCATAATAAACAGTGGAGAATTTTTTAAAAAAGAGAGCTAAAATACAGGAGTAGCAGCCTATCAGCAAACAGATACATGTCCTGAAGCATGAGCCTCCCGATAAACAAGGGGTGTAGACAATCACAAAAAATCGCGACAAGCGTTCAGATGAGAGACGCAGCGCAGTAAGAAGAACAAACAAACAACCTGGAGCATTCAGCCCCCGATAAGCAAAACTTGGGGAATGCTTAATCGGACTGCATGTATTCAAAGACATATAAATCACAATCGACTCGTTCTCTACGTGGTCTAGTGCATATTCTCTGATACGACAGACGTGAAACAAGAGAAGCAAGCAAACCAGTGCACTTTCATGGTCCCGCAGACTTGAAAATTAAGACGCATGTGCAGAACGCTCAGACTTTCTGCTAGTGTCTGTGTGCTTGTGCATGGTTGACGTAGGCAAGCGCGCGCATGCACAGCGAAGCCCGAACCTGGAAAACACAGCCGTCGAAACCCTGTGCTCAACACCTGAAACCCACCCACGTGCCCGCGCCAGGCCCGACGGACACCATACACAGTCCTCTGAAGCGTGGGCCACAGCGAACCCCAGAAGAACAGGCCGAAGGCAGAAGTGCCTCGAGTTGTTGTGCTCTGGCTCAGAGGGTCTTGGGATGCTCCTGTTCAGTACATGTGTGGTTTTGCCTGTGGCACGTTGAAGCCGTACCCCGAAAACCCTAAACTGTTTGTTGTGCAGGATATGGCTCAGGGAATGGATTGGGGTTGAGACTATGGACCCAGATTTCCCCCGCCAGCAATCGCTTCCACGCGGCGTCCAGATGGAGCAAGTAGCCAACCAACGCCCTATGACCCTGCAGGCCTTAAACCCTAAACCCTACAAGCCTTAAACCCCCAAACCCTACAAGCCTTAAACCCTAAACCCTGAACCCTACAAGCCTTAAACCCTAAGCCCTACACCTTGACTGCTACGTCCCAACCCATTCCTGCTCGTCACGGGCCTGCCCTAGAACATGTGCAGCCCGCTTTGCCACTTGTCCCGGGGCCCACCAAGCGTTTAAGGTGTGAGGTCTCCGCCTCAGACAGAGGGGAGGTCCTCAGGGCTTTGGCCTTCAGGGCCTCAGGGCTTGGGGAAAATCTTGAAAATCATTACTTCTGGCCTTAAAGTATCGTGGTGAGTGGTCGCGAGCGAACCGAACCGAATCAGAAAGGGTGACCCTTGTTCTCGCAGGTTGCTGAAGGGAACCTGGTAGGCTGTTAACCCTTAATGATTTTAGGCGCCTTGTCGTACCTGAAGCTAAGGCCGCTGCTGGTGATCCTAAGGAGGAGGCTGCGCAGTTCAAAGGAGTCCTGACGGGATCCAGGGGCGAACCTACGTATGAATCTATTGTATGTTTTGATTTCGTATACATGTATCTGGCCCACAGAGCCAAACTAGACAGCAGGATCTTGCACTTGAGAGGCGAGCATACGTGGCACACCAGGCGTCCTTGATCTTGTGTCTTGTAGTGTAAGCATGCCTTCTTACATACAAGAATTTACCTATTATATGCGAATATATACTGGTATATATTATTATATACTAGTATGTACTACTGTCTACTACTATATACTATTGAACACTATTATATATGATTATATACTATTACACACTCTTATAAATTATTGTATACTATTATATACGATTATAGGCTAATATATGCTAGTCTATACACTAGCATATGCGATTATGACACATGATTCATGATGATCATACCATTACACATTCAGTATATACGATTATATAATTACTGATTCATGGCGTTGTGTGAGTGGAGTCGTCGCTCCGCGCGTCGGGAGGATTCAGCCCGGTGCCAGGGTGACCGCTGCTTCCGGCGCCGTTTTTCCTGAGCCGCTGGGAGAAAACCCGTGCCTTCGGGTCATCCATACACCCAACCTGTACTCGAGCTGGCAGCCGGAAGGGAGGTAGCCGACCAAGAATGCGATGGACTGAATGCATGCTGCTAGCCCCTTGTGGTAGCAGTGGTAGCGTGTGAGTAGGATATACAATGAGATGCCACAAGGAACACATGGAGTGTTGATCAGTAGGACGTTGCATAGAGCTAGATGACGGTTGCTCTCGCCGCAGCCGTGAGGATCCCAGAGTAGTAATACAGTACAAAAGAGGATGGGACACAAGGTTGCATGCATTGTGCAGTTCATGGGCGACGCATAGTGATTTAGATTGTTCCGGCAGAAGTGTTGGCCGACATTGGCTCGTAATTGCGTCCGAAGATAAGAACGACAAAGCGGTGGCTGCGCTTGCGAAGCGAATGTTCCTGACATCTTGCCTCCCATGTTGATGCAGAGGCACGGGAACATGCTTTGAATTTGATATCACAGGTCTGTAGGCCTTGGGAAAACGCTTTCGCTGAATAGCTCTGCATATGCATCCACCTTGAACATCCTTGCAACAGAGTTGTGCAAGCTGCCTCAAAGACAGGCTTAACAGTTTCCCAGACATTTCTGATGCCGCATGCAAGCCTTTCAAACGCCAGTTGTTAAACTTTTGGGATCGCAAAGCTCACCGGGTTTTTCGAGATCTCAACCAGGCAACAACTTCATTTTGATGCTGTGCTGGTTGAGCTCATTCTGATAAATCGGCCGGCAACCTAGATGTCTGCAATGGGCTCATGGACTTTCGGAAAGATCGGCCATCCTTGGCAAGTTGGATTGAGATTGTGTAGAGATGAGGTTTGTTTGAAAAGCTTTGAGACACTGTTCCCCTGAAGCCCCAAGGCTAGGCTCGTTGCAGCTAGCGTCAAGCCCTGGTCACTAGCCCTGGTCACGAGTTGTCGCAACTTCTTCTGAGGGTCTCGCGGTATGTGTTGCGAGGATGTGGTAAAGACGTGGAGCAGCAAAGCCCTCGTGTCTTTAGGGGGGTGATTCAGTTTGGCCATCTGACGTCACGTGAAGCTGGGGTGGCAAGTGGCCATGCACCAACCACTCTTGTCAGATGCGGCGCTGTTGACAGTGCCTCTGTTGCTGTCCGAACTAGGCAGAACGGCTTCAGTGCAGTTGATTACTTGCTTTCAGACGCTCCCTGAAGTCACTCGTGTGGGTCCCGATTGCCAACTAAGGCAGACTAAGGCTAAAGCAAAAGCAGTGATCTGAGTGGAGTTGTATACCGCGTATGCCGTGTATACTTACATGAGGTTGAATGCCTGCCGACTCCACGTGACCAGTTTGGAAGAGACGGACGAAGGCAGAGCCCGTCTTGTGTCTCGGAGTTCCGTGTGTCTTGTGGTCGGTGCATGGTGCAGATTTGAGGAAGCATCATTCATGACTATCAGAAGGTTGCAGTGCCAGTAGAAAGTCCCGAGCTTTGTTGGGTTCACGCGTCTGAGGCACCAGGGTAACTCGCCGTCATTCCAAGTGCTCTCAATGCGGCCCACACGGCAGGCAAACCCACAGAGCCTTCAAGCCCTAAACTCAAAGTCAGCAACGCTAAGGCACTTCGAGGCTTCGCAAGTTGCTCACTCAGGTAAGAACCCCTTCTATACTCTGACCGCAAGGCTCCATTGCGCTTCTCATCCAAAATTAGGCCAGCACCCTAAACCTGTTTCAAGACCCCCCTGTAATTGCGACACGACCCCTCTGCAGTTTTAGGACAAGATGTGTCTTTGAAGCCTGCTTCAGAAGCCCTGCCGCAGGAAGCGTGATTCCTGAACTACTCGTTCTGTGAACTCCGAGCCTGAAATCAGCGCCGGCATCCACAACTGCGACCTGCGTTGCGCGAGCTGGACGAGAATCATGCACGCCCGTTGCGCGCAGGAGCGCCCTGTGAAGCAGACCACCTCAGGGGCGCTGCCTCTAGAAAGCCGGGGGGGGGGAGGGGGGTAGGCCCCGGGTAGGCTTGGTCTCGCGGTGTTAATACGGCTCCCAAAAAGAGTTAGGGCCAGAGTCGTGACGTCGGTGGGAGGATCCAGAGCCGGCGTCCTGGGCGAGGAGTCCAATGAAGTTTGATGGCTCTCCGAGCTCTCAAAGGGACTGTTGTGTGCTTCTCAGGTCCTTAAGTTTGTGGTTCCAAAGCTGATGGTGGTGAAGGCTTGGAAAAGAGGCCCAAAGATCAAGACGCATGACTGTAGTTCAGCTGTTGAGGCTCGGGTGCCGACTTGAGAAGTCCTTCGGCCACCAGCCGTCAGCCTTTCGCGTCCTTGCAATAGTCCTCTCCTTTGCACCGCGACGCCCGGCTGTGGGGCAGCATGCTGTGCAGCATGGTGCAGCACTGTGGCACTAAAGCAGCGTGGCACCTGTAAAATGCCAGGTGCCGTCATCGGACCATGCAAGTGCTGCGGTGAAGACACCCTTTGCATCCATTAGGCCCTTAGGTGTTGCCTGGGTGTGGCAGTTCATGCTATTCTGCCGGGCCGCGCAAGCGCCGGAAGCATTGGCTTGCGTTCAGCAAAGAGCCCGTTTCGTCTGGACTGTGTGGTGTCAACATCCGCGAGCGGTGTGTTCCGCATGCCTTCCGCCTGCCGCACTCCCATCGACTTCAACTTCCGGAGGTCTTCGAAAGTAGCTTCGTGGCTCTTCGGCAGGCGTCCTCCGTCGTGCGCGATTCCTGAGCATTGGCCGTAAGCCGCAACTTGCTCTGAAGTCCATCAGTGTGGCTGACTGCCCGGCATGAGCCTAAGAAAGGCGGCGCGAGACCTTAACCTTGTGCCTTCTACCTCAGCTCAGCATCATCAACATTCACCACCCTGGTGTGCCCCTTGTGCCCGCTTCCCTTGCCTCA